TAGGGGTTTAGGGGCTTAGGGATTAGGAAAAGGCAAAAACGAGATTCGGTTCATGTAGGGGCCTTAATCATTAGAATAGGGTTTGGGCTCCTTCATAGCATAACAATAATCATGGAGCCCTAAGGAATAATATGTATACATGTATAGAGGTAATTATTCAGGCCCCTACACTGTGAGGGAGTTCGAAATTGAAATCGCAAAGGTTCAACGGCTGTTTGGCGGTGTGTTCCCCGTGTGTTGAAGGGTGGGTGTGTGGTTTATGGTTGACGGTTCAGCTGTTTCAGCTCAAACGGCACCCCGAACCCTTTGTCATGCTCTGTGCAGTCTTGAAATGTTCTGCATTCTGGCAGCACATGGGGGGCTCTTAGCTACGGCGCGCATGACACCCTTCAGGGCGAACCCCTCTCCAATCCTAAATGACGGACCTAAACCCTAAACCCCGATGCCAACCTGATTAATTCCTGAGCCCTGGCCCTAAGACGACATCCTCAGGACTGTAGACCTTCTCGAAAACAAGTGGTTTAGGGGAGCGACGAGTGAATGTGGGTGGGTTTAGGGTTTAGGGTTTAGGGTTTAGGGTGGGTGGGTGGGGAGGGCAGGTGCATTTCATTCAGCAATATTCAACATCAAGCCTTCTGTTCGCCCAATTCGCCAAAAACATCTTGAGGTGTTGCATAGTTCTAGGGACCCTACAAAAAAGTAGGTTTTGGTAGCTCAAGGGTTGTATCAAAGCCATCTTCGCGTCAAAGCGGCCCATTGACCGTCAGCTGGGTGGTTTGCGTGATGGAGATCGTGTTGTTGATCATGTTCGTCACCTGATCCGGTTTTTGATTCTGGGTGTGCAACTCAGGGGCTAAAGTTCGGAGTTGTGGAGATGTTTCTTGTCACCTGACGCTGCGTTCGGACTCTCTACAACCTTTACAGCCTCAAAACCTTTCTAAAGCCTTAGATTAAAAGAAAACCTCTTTACTATTAAGTTCCGAAGGTGCATCCAGCTTTCTTCCTTGAGAACCCGCGGTGACAAAGCTGTTTACGCTTCCGCGTTAGAAACCCTAAACCCTAAACCCCAAAACCCTAAACCCTAAAACCCAAACCCTAAACCCCTAAACCCTACCCTAAAACCCTAAAGCCCTAAACCCTATACTTTAAACCCTAAAACCCTAAAACCCTTAACCCCCAAACCCAAAGCCCCTAAACCCTAAACCCCAAACCCCTAAACCCTAAACCAAAGCTTCTGGGATCCAAGAGGGAGAGCTGCGGCATCCCCGGCACATCTAGGATCCACCGCGGAAAAGGACCCGAAACCCTGAAATCCTAAATCCACTTCAAAATTGGGGTTTGGGTTTAGGGTTTAGGGTTTAGGGGTTTAGGGGTTTAGGGGGTTTAGGGGTTTAGGGTTTGGGTTTAGGGGTTTAGGGGTTTAGGGGTTAATGGTTTAGGGTTTAAGGGTTTAGAGGTTTATAGGGGTTTTGGGTTGAAGGGGTTAGGGGTCTAGGCCACAAAGCCCAAACGCCGAAACCCCTAAAAGGTTAAGCAACCTGAAATCCTAACAAGTAAACCCTAAAATATAAAACTCCAAAACCCAAATCTTACACTCCAGAACCACCCTTGACCTTACATCGCTAACATAGAGACCGGAGCAAAGGGTTAGGCAATACTGTTACCCTCAACCCTAAACCCTATTTCAGGTCCGATGGGTTTTCCGAACAGGGTTTACGGCTTAGGGTTCGTTTAGGGTTTCTAAACCCGACGTGACATACATCTCTAGGTGTTTTGGGTTTGCAGTTCAGTTCTCAGGTGCTTAGGTTTCTTGATTTTGATGTCCTTGCACAGATTCATTTTACTGCGTTAGGTTGGGGTGGGGGTTCAAGGTAAATTTAATTTGAGCTTGCAGCTGGGATCCAGTGAGTGTTATAATGTTCTATGAGGGTTCTTGCACAGGAAACTAAACCCCCAACTGGCCCTAAACCCCTAAACCCTTATCGGGCTGCGTAGGATTAAAGGGGGTTTGCCGCGTGTACAAGGTTATTGTGTAGGAACTTAGTTTAAGCCACCTCTGTGAGGACAGACTGACCGTGTATCCTGAATATGCCAAGTGACGTAAGCTCCTTGAGAAGGACTCCGGATTGGGAAACCCTTAGCCCTCAACCGTAAGCCCTAAGAAACCTGTAGCCCCGAACACCGACTCCCATGAAGCAGGCATGCAACAATCGAGATGACGATCGGCTGCTGGAAGGTGACCTGAAATTTCGCCTACTTCGTGGAATACCCTAAGCCCAAACAGCTAAACCCTAGGCCCTAAACCTGAAACCTTAAACCCTAAACCCTAAACACCTCAAACCCCAAACACCTAAACCCTAAACCTCAAACCCCAAACACCTAAACCCTAGACCCTAAACCTTAAACCCTAAACCCTAACCCTCAAACACCTAAACCTTAAACCCTAAACCTCAAACCCTAAACCCTAAACCCAAACCCCCAAACACCTAAACCCTAAACTTCAAACCCTAAACCCTAACCTCAGACCAACGGTTGGGGATTCAGGGTTTCAGGGCTTGGTCTTCAGGGGTTAGGGTTTAGGAGTGTAAGGTTGTAGGGTTTAGGGTTTAGGAGCGTAGGGTTTAGGGTTTCGGATGGTTTAGGGTTCAGGGCTTTAGGGCTTTAGGGCTTTAGGGGTCTAGGGGTTTAGGAGTTTAGGGTTTAGGATGGTTTAGGGCTCAGGGCTTTAATGCTTTGGGTTTAGGAGTGTAGGGTTTGGGATTTAGGATGGTTGAGGGTTTAGTGTAAGGTTTAGGGTTTAGGAGGGTTTAGGGTTCAGGGCTTTAGGGCTTAGGGTTTAGAAGTGTAAGGTTTAGGGTTTAGGAGGGTTTAGGGTTCAGGGCTTTAGGGCTTAGGGTTTAGGAGTGTAAGGTTTAGGCTTTAGGAGGGTTTAGGGTTCAGGGCTTTAGGGCTTTAGGGCTGAGGAGTTTAGG